TCTTCCGTAACAGCAGCTTGTTCGTGCTCTTGTGACTTCTGAGGTGATTCGTTCACCACTGAAAGGCATTTTTATGCGAAAAGATCACTGTGAATGCGCAAAATTCTATCGAATTTATTGATATCAAAAAAGAAAAAAAAATATATATATATATATATGATTTACGACCAAAGTGAAGTGCATAGAATGAAAATGTAAGATGAAAGTACGTTCGGAAAGAAGTGAACAGGTGACGGTGATCAGTGGCGCAAGTCGCATGAGCCCCTCTTCTCGGGTCTGTAGCGCCACATCATCGCTATCATTGGACTGCTCAATATTTAAGCTGAAATCGTGAATAATCAAACAGCGTGGATAAGAAGTACAATATTCGTAAAAGATACAAAGTGTTGTGGAAATTTTAAAGATACAAACAATGAATATTCCTGACAAGGAGACTGGAAGAGGAAGGAGGCCTGAAATCTGCATATTTGTTAACACATGCAGTTCGTTTGGCGTTGTTCGCCCACCGTGGAGAGGAACATAATCGAATTTTGACAATTAATGAAAACTTGAAGTAATGCCATTTAGATCTCCCAAATAAGCAAATCCACACATGCACTGGCTTGGTAACCTGTCTGTGTTTCATCCCTGAGCTTTGAACACAGGCAGCAGAATCGGGTGGGAATCATCCGTATAGGGTTCCATTCCGCCAGTTAAACTTTCCCAGTTATTATATGAAACAAAAGGCAAAAACATTTTCCTAAGTGTTTACTGTGAAAAACAGTTAATTAGAATGATCTGCCACTGCACCCTAACCAGTAACACTTCAATAGTGGCAGTCATATCACTACTTATGCTTAAGAATATAAGTGTTTTTTGATTTAATCTAATTTTAGTGAAAAAAAAAGGGAAGTTAGCGAACAATTAGAATGATTTGAAAAATTTCCGATACCCGCCCACCTTTTGCCCCCTTCTAAGTAAAAGTACTAGAAAAGATCCTTGAAAATTTGCTAAATATTAGTCAAGACACAACCGAAAATATCTTTCATTTTCCTGTTCGGTGCAAACCAAGTCTACTTCCTTCCTTTTTCCAAAAAAAATCATTACATCAAAAAAAGCTTATTTTTCACCAGCACTGCTACTCGCTTGTTAGCTATGCCATTTTTCATACCAATGCCACTCACGCTAACGCGCCTCCCCTCATTCTTCTCCCCATGGATCACTTAAACAACAGAACAAAAAAATGTACGATATAAAAAAGTCACACTGAAAAAAAAACAGTAAAAAATTAGTTGCCTACTTCTGCAGTCGAGCTTCATTTGATTCCACTGTGATTCTTGTGAGGTATGCAGAGACACATTCGAACAGTTTTTTAAGCATTGAAAGCACCGAGCAATCGGATGTAGGATCCGATAGAAGGGCCCTGATTTCGATCTCTTCTTCACCACTGGCACTCTGAGCACTTAACGCCAGCGCAGCGACAATTTGCACTACTGCTTCATAAACTTCCACATGCTGCGATATATCCAGCACTAAACAACTTTTTTCAACTTCCAGTTAATTCAAAATAAGGCAAAAACCAAAAAACAAGTAGCAACAAGTAATAAAATTTACGCAGAAACAGCAGAAGAAATGTTTTCTAAAATCAAAATTTGTCGCAAACAAACCCGAATCATTCCTCAGGTAAGCCCAAATAGCCGGCAACAAACATGAACGTGACAGCATCGCTATTACCGCCGTGCTCAACGACCACTGAAACAGATCAGCAGGTGCTGGTACCGGTTCCTGTGAGAGCTCCGCCATTGCTGCATCTGTACACTCCGCATCTGGAATAACAGAAAGAAGGAATCAGCATCAACCTATAATCTAAGTCATGCAATTCCCCTTCGTTTTTTTTTTTTTTTCAATTTTCACTTCAAACTGTGACGCAGTTTGTAAAACTGGAGGCTGCAG